CCCATTCTGGAGAACTGGTAAGATTCAAATCTCAACCTATGCCATTCTGGAGAACTGGTAAGATTCATATTTCAAACCTATGTCACTCTGGAGAACTAGTAAGATGCAAATCTCAACCCTATCCTATTCTGGAGAACTGGTAAGATTCAAATCACAACCATATCCCATTCTGGGGAACTAGTAAGATTCAAATCTCAACCTATCCCATTCTGGAGAATTTGTAAGATTCAAATCTCAACCTGCTCCCATTCTAAAGAACTGGTAAGATTCAAATCTCAACCCTATGCCATTCTGGAGAACTGGTAAGATTCAAATCTCAACCTATGCCATTCTGGAAAACTGGTAAGATTCAAATCTCAACCCTATCCTATTCTGGAGAACTGGTAAGATTCAAATCTCAACCCTATGTCATTCTGGAGAACTGGTAAGATTCAAATCTCAACCCTATCCCATTCTGGAAAACTGGTAAGATTCAAATCTCAACCCTATCCTATTTTGGAGAACTGGTAAGATTCAAATCTCAACCCTATGTCATTCTGGAGAACTGGTAAGATTCAAATCTCAACCCTATCCCATTCTGGAGAACTAGTAAGATTCAAATCTCAACCTATGCCATTCTGAAGAACTGGTAAGATTCAAATCTCAACCCTATGTCATTCTGGAGAACTGGTAAGATTCAAATCTCAACCTATGCCATTCTGGAGAACTGGTAAGATTCAAATCTCAACCCTATCCTATTCTGGAGAACTGGGAAGATTCAAATCTCAACCCTATGTCATTCTGGAGAACTGGTAAGATTCAAATCTCAACCATATTTCATTTTGAAGAACTGGTAAGATTCAAATCTCAACCCTATGTCATTCTGGAGAACTGGTAAGATTCAAATCTCAACCTATGCCATTCTGGAGAACTGGTAAGATTCAAATCTCAACCCTATCCTATTCTGGAGAACTGGGAAGATTCAAATCTCAACCCTATGTCATTCTGGAGAACTGGTAAGATTCAAATCTCAACCATATTCCATTTTGAAGAACTGGTAAGATTCAAATCTCAACCCTATGTCATTCTGGAGAACTGGTAAGATTCAAATCTCAAACCTATCCT